CTTTTCGATCAAACACATTTGAGACGATGAACGGGCCATCGTTCACCTATATGGAATGATAATTAAGAGATAATGGTGGTTTTTGCAATTACGAATTTAACAAACATATCTTGTAATAAATGCTCTAACAAACATTGCGTCGTTTAAAAGCCTGATGAATGTTCTAGTACTTGTTTGAAATATGTTGCACCTTTTCCTATGCTTAATTTTTATACGGTAGCTTTAGTTTGGTTCAAATGGTGCCATCATGACGAGAAATTCGCAATGTTTGGCCTTATCTTGACAAGCCCGCAGCGGAGGCGATGTGAAATGTCATCAAAATATGAGGCACGGAAACACTTCCGGTGGCACACTGTGAAGATCTTTTGGAAAGTTTCGTAGCAAAAAAAATAACCTCGATAAAGCGATAAGGGATAAAGCTGTCAGCGTTCATCAATCACTGCGGGATGCGCCATGCATTCGACTTCACTAAGCATCGTAGAAGGTGATTGAGTGCATATCTGGCCTTAACAATGACTCGCAGTGGCCTACCGATGTATCGAGTCAGCACCGCTATCTCCCCATACAAGTCTGGTGCCAATTTGCCGGCCACGCCGGCCACAAAGAGATGGAGGGCTTGGTGGGACACGAGAGCGGCGATCGATCCCATGTGTGTGTTGCAGGGTGCCTCCGACCAGCCTGCCACACGCACCCCTATCGGCCTCGATAAGGATGAATTTCATGAATGCTCAACAGCGACTGTTTGCAGCTAACTGCTAGCAAAAGCAGATGACAATCGATAAAAAAAATCACTCGTAGGGTAAACTGTGAAATTGATAGAACTTAACAACTATGATTTCGTAATTTGTAAGATATTTTCGAAAGGTAAAATACTTCGATAAAGTGTTCTCGCGTGAGTTAAACCAGTGGCATCCAGATCATCGTCAAGAGGTTCGTTCTGCGTTTTTTGTGTGATGTAAATGAAAGGATAAGCTCTCGGCATTGACCAATGCCTGTGGGACGCGCCATTCATTCGATTTCACTAAGCGTCGTTTAGAGGTGATTAGATGCATACCTGGATTTTACCTTGACTCGCGGTAGACTACTGATGTATCGAGCCAATGATGCTATCTTCCCAGACGAGTCAGGTACCAATTTGCAGACCTCGGAGGGAAAGAACGCTCGGTGGGCCATAGGCGTGGGGATTCATTCCATGTGTGTGCTGCAGGGCGCCTCCGACCACTGCGCCACATGTGCGTAATATAATCAAAAAACATTTACTCGATGGCATTGTGATGCATGACGAAATTGCATCTTTAGTGACCAACGAAGACTCTTAACTCAGCGGTTGGACCAAAGTGAAGGTTCGAAACAGTTTTGAAACCCCAGTTTGCACAATGTTTACAAGTTGTTGTTCTGAAGTCGGATTAATTCAGCGTACCTTCTGCCCTGGCAAAATAATCACAGAAGTTGGCAAGCAATGTCGTGAAATAAAGCCCATTAGAATCTGTGTCGCATGTATCAAGCAGTTTTTTTTTTACATTACTAAGCATCACTTATTGTGTGGACGCCCTACACTTCTTGCATTCGATTTGTTTCCTCGCATCCATTATCCAAGAAGCTCTTTGAAATTTTCACTTATGGGTTCGGCTGTTGCTTGAAGATTTTCCTTTTGGTCATGAATGTTGGTAGAATCGATTCTCTTTGGAATTCAGAGAGAGCCGTGCAAAAACATTTTTGAGTGGATTGGAAGAAATGGGTTGATCCCAGATAAGCTTCATACCAATTTTCTGACGCCCAGTGGACAGGAGGCTTGAATGATCCAAGCCCGGCACACCAGCGCGTTGTTTGTAATTTGTAATGAGCAACTCCACTACTACTGTGTCAGACTAAAAGTCTCGCTAATCGAATTAGCGCTTTTTCACACACCTCAAAATCTACATAAAGGGATGATTTTTTATTACTGAAGTATTTGCCTTGAGCGTATGTGGCGCAGTGGTCGGAGGCACCTTGCAGCATATTCATGGGATCGATTCCCGCGCCTATGGCTCACTAAGCCTTCCATCCTCCGAGATCGGAAAATTGATACCAGACTAGTCTGGGAGGATAGTAGCACTGGCTCATAACATCGATGGGCCATTGCGAGTCATTGTAAAGGGCAGATATGCATTACGATGCTTAATGAAGTCAAATACTTGGCGCATACATCAGGGATTGATCACCACCAAGAGCTTTTTTAAGCTTGCATTAAGTCCATTGTTGAAAATTCCTTCAAAGAACTCATCGCTTCAGAATACGAGATTTCAACATTGCTGGAATAAGTGAACTACCCTTGTGTTGTCTGGTGATGTATGGGTTTTCTTAAGGCTCTTGTTCCACGTTTTTTTTGAGCCACATAACTTTATAAATTTGTCACTCATAGTCAATTGTTTATCCAATCGTTTAAAATTTAAGTATATTAGTGAAAATAAGTCGTGAACAAGTCAGCAAAGAATTGCTAAGTAGACTTTTCCGCGTTACCCAGATTACCCCATCCCGCATATTTCCTCTACAGATGTCATTTAGGAAGCTTCGAAATCTCTAAGGCTATGCATTGAGTTCACGCCAAACACTGGCGATCTAACTGCCATTTCCAACATCTTCAAATAATTACAAATATTATATATCGATCTGCCTATGATCTATCTCTATCTATGATCTTGTACTTAATCTTAATACTCTATATCTCGAAACATCAACGCGCAAGACTCTTGAGGCGGTTTGGATCAATTTCAAAAATCCAAAGATGAACCGGAAAAACAAATGCCTCACTATCACACGTGACCTGGCGCCTTACTTCAAAATGATTTTTTGACTTGGCTAGGTCTCGTTCGCAACTCCACGTGAACAACGCGTGCGCCATTCCCACTCGTAACAGCGCGGTCAGTAGACTTTACGATCAATATGGCGCTTATTTGAAAATTTGATCTTCTACTTAATCTTAATACTTTATATCTTAAGACTACGAATATTTCACCGAATACGAGACTACTGTTGCACAAAATACGTCTAGGCTCTGAGGAAGGCGAAATCACCGAAACTTCAGCCGTCGACCAACAGCACCAGCAGCAGCGACAATAACAACAACAACAACGACAAAGAAGACGTATACCAACCTCGCACCAGCTCAAAAAGATGTTTACAGAACCATATAGATAAATACAGTAACTCTTCTTCTTATTTGGTGCCTACTACAATTCTTCATGGCAGGGAACTATGCGAAATACAACCACAATGGTGTTGCGATATTTGCGAAACGCCGGACCGCAGGTGTCTGCGGTGGGGAACGAACGCGCCATTACCCTCTTCGGGAGCTAACGCGCGATTGGTGATGGTGACTAACCATAACGGTGATTGTGATTTCAACTATTACTGCCTCAGCCTAACTGGGTCCAATGTCGATATGGGCTCCATAGATCAATCCCGTTGACGGATGATTGCTTGTGGCACTGATCGATAGAAAACTATCTGAGAGACAGGCGAAACCCAGGATCCACGTGGTACGGTAGTGAATGCGTTAGACACGAGAAAGGCTAATAGCGCGTTTGTTCCCCACCGCAGACACCTGCTGTCCGGAGTTTTGCAAATGTCTCAGCATCATTGTGGTTGTATCACACATAATACCCTGCCATAAAAAAGTGTAGTAGGCGGTAAATAAAAAGCTTAAGTTTCCACCTAGAAATCTTGATGCTTGGTGAAGACTGGTGACTGGATTTGCTGTATTTCAATTAATTTAGTGATTTCCTACTTTATTTGCGTAAATTACGTCCTCGAAAAAAATTGCTCCGTGCTATCGAGTAAACCCTTTTTGCAATATTGGTGAAGTACAATCATAACGATACTGGGTTGTGAGGAAAACTCTCGGAACCTTAATGAGGTTTCGAGTTTGCGAATACTCTTCAAGGCGGGTTCGTGTGCATATTGCAAGGTCGCACCGTACCCTGTCATAAAAAAAGAAGAAAAAAAGGAAAGATAGGCAGAAAATAAAATCGAAGGCACTATGATATTGAATACAGTTCTAGCATAACTGAGTTCAATGCCGATTTACCCTCTGCAGATCATTCCTGTTAACGGCCGGTTGCTGCTAACAGCGACAGACTTGAAAAATTATCCAGAAAAAGGCAGAGCAACGACCTCGATTGGTGTAGTCGATGGCTAGCGAGACCCCAGCGAGATTTCGAAACCATGTTGTGGTCCCAAGCTTTGCTCGGCTATCGAATTAAGAATTGTTCTGCAATAAACACATAGTCGTAGGTTGTATTTTCCGCTAGATACTTCATGATTATTGGTAATGTCAAGTCGACCAGCTTTTAATGATTTTCTTGAAAAGAGAAAATATTTGGGTTGAATCCAAACTCCTAGGCAGAATACGCCTCCCAACGGTTCATCGCGTCGTCGTGGCTGGGAGGTGTTCCTGGGTGTCGGGCTCCGATGTCCAGCAGGGGGATTCGTCTCTTCGGCAGGGTCTCCCAAGCTGAGAAGGAGCTCAGCGTTTCCATTAGGAAGCCAAGCTAAGAGTAAACCAATACCAAGATCCACCACCGTCCTGGTATCAAAGTCGCATGGTGGCAAATCTCCCTCTGATCCACAAGGGCTGCAACTGCTTGTGGTGGTGAAGTCTTAGGACAGACTTTGGCTAGACTGACCTTGGGATTCTAGGAAAGTACAGTGGCTTAACAAACAAATCTTTGAAAAATGGAGATTATGCTGGGGCCCGCACAACCAGTGAGAACGGGCCATTCAAGTATCTAGTTGAATTCCTAGCAAATTAGCTATGCTCAAGTTTACCGGAAGATGTCATTTTCCTTTAGATTTCATGAGTAGAATTAACTGGTAGAACACATTAGCATTCTGTTAGTATTACAATAGCCAATTTGCTAACAGCTTTGCTGGTCAGTAAACTGTTGGTGGTTTTCAGTAGCGTCCGCGTCCGCGGCATAGCGGCTGCACAAACAACTTCGTGTAGGCGGCGAGGTCGCCACATGGACACCATTACCATTTATCCAGATTTCGTAATGACCCAATCTCTACCCCACAAGATTCTAATGAAGGTGCGTTCATTCTACTTATCATTAATCGTGTTATACGCTGGAAGCTCTTGGAACCCACACAAGACTAGTCTGGCTTTGGCCGTTTCCTCAGAACACAGAGGATGAGCGCTTTTCAAGAATAAGAAAACATTAACTTATTGGAAAAAATACTTTGACTTTAATACTTTTTATTTCAACTTCTGAGGTTTACTACAAGCTGGATTTATGGTCGAGAGTTTATGTTTTTTCTTACGACATATGCATTCATACCAATGAATGCGATAGCTTTACCGATGAAATTAAACACTAACGCTTCGGCTGCTAGTCTCGCTAGGAAAAAAGCTAGAACTGAGTGATGTATAAAAAAAGATTTATGTGGCATCTACACTTCTCATTTGTCGTTCTCGACCGATATGGAATAAAATTTCCTGCAAATGTCAATCAATCCTCAATCTCTGAATCCTCAAAAGTTAAGCTTATGTCCACCAAGAAGAAGTTGTATAAATCCGAGAAACAAATGACGTTTGTTGTTAGTCTTCGATATCACGTATTGACCAAGATGCTTTTTAAGTAGTTGCACGCTAACACGCAAAGAAGGATCATGAAATGATTTCAAGTCATTGTGTTCTTGCTAACTCAACTGCCCTATAGATGAGCTGACAAAAACTTGGTGGCAGCATTCTGACTCTCAGTGCGTAACGTTGCGGAAACCACATTTTATCAGATCGTGGAAGGATAGGTGCTATAATATGAGCCTATAAAGTAAACACTTAAATGGAAAGCATTTTCAAAGTGTTTGGGAAGATGTTTCAAAGTGTTTGTCGCTGATCGAACCCTTAATGTTGCACCATGAACTCCACTCCATTCGTTGCTCCTTTGTGCTCACTGGATTCTTATCTGCCCTATAGAATAATTTTGACGTCTTACTGATATGTCAAGTCGGTGTTTCTGTCTTCCCAAAAAAGTGAGGTAGCAGTTTTCTGACTACGAAAGGATGGGAAGCTTGGTTGGCCTAAAACGGCATCGATCGAACAACTATCTGCATATGACTCGGCATCGGCATCTCTAACAACATTGTAACACGAATGGTAGAAGTCTGTAGAATCGAAATGAAGGACTGAGATTCCACTTTATCAAAAACACTCATCCTCTTGTCGTTGTATACTCTCTTTTAGGGAACGACCACCCATATTACGTTATTTTTTCTAAATAAATAGTTGCTACCTTTCTCGCAGCTAGTTTCTACCTGTCGCTGCCGTCAAGATTCACCCGTCAGCGGGATGACAAATCGACATTGAACCCAGTTAAGCTGAGGCTGTAGTCGAAATCATGTTGTTAACCTTTTATTTTCTGCTTATTGCAATTTCTCACGGCAGTGTATGATGTCAAATACAACCACGACAATGCCGAGATATTCGCAAAACATTGTGATTCCGACTACAGCTTCAGCATAACTGGGTTCAATGCCGATTTGTGCTCCCCAAGTCAATCCCGCTGACGGGTGAATCTTGACGGCAGCGATGGGTAGAAAGCTAGCTGAAAGATACGCAAAAGAATCTCTGTGGTGCAGCGTATAATACACGAACTCTCAGAAAGGGTGATCGTGGTCGGTCTGGCCCAGGCTCCAAGTTTTGCGAATATCTCAGCATCGATGTGGTTGAACAGATTTTGTTTGCCACTTTATTTCATGTGGAAGGCATGCAGATGGCTTTTGCCCCCCTCTCTCTCTATACTCCACAAGAAACAAGGCGATAAAATATTTTTGAGAAAGTGAATATCACCGAAATCTTAGCCAGTATCAACCGAAAAATGTGTTAACAACTTTGTGTCAGTCCACTGGGGCAGTTCGTTGAGCAATATCGATTGCTTATTAATCCTTTCGAATTGATTTCAATTGAAACGTACCCAAAAATAATTATACGATTCGGCTCCAAAATGCGTACGTGGCCAATGTGGTGGATTTCGGCAGCTTATAGATGTTTCAAGTCAGTGTTTTTATTCTCCTAAACAAGTTTGGTACAGCTTTGCCAACTTCAGAGGACCAGGAGGCTTTGTTGGCCGAATATAGAATGAAATAAACAACCGCTTCTTTCTACACGTGCCCAATGAAGTAGTAATTTATATGACCCATTCTTTAGGTGACGGCAGCATTGATTTATCAATATGTCGTCGCTGTTGTGGATGCTTCTGATGGCTTCGAAACCGCAGCTTTTGGTGAAGATGCTCCAAGTATAAATCCACGGTTTAAGTTTCTAGCCAAAGGTTTGTAAAAAGATTTTGAAGCAACATGAAATCCAGCGAAAAAATTTTTCTTCTCTTTATTACCAAATAGCTATATGATAACAACTAGTCGTATGTTCATTATTTTTTCTATTCTTTTGTCTTCTACACGATCCATTTTCACATTTATTGTGCGGATTCCAGCAGTTCACACATTCGATTCGTTTCCTCTCATCCGACATCCACGAAGTTCGTCCAACTTTTTACATATGGCTTCGGCTGCCACTTGAGGATTTTCGCTTCGTCATGAATGTCATTGAATGCCGGTCAAGTCGATTCTCCCTGGAGCCTTGAGATAACCGGACTAGAGCGTTCCCAACTGGATTGCAGACAGTGGTCTTTTCCCAGACAAGTCCACTACCAATTTCTCGACTTTGAAAGGATGAGAGGCTCAGTAATCCTCGGAAAGGATTGAGCCAGCAGCGTGTTAATGATGAACGGCATCACTACCACTGATCTACCCTTTTTATATTTGTTATTGTTGATGTTGATGCTAATAAAGGATAAAGGATAAAAGACGTTGATCGTCCCTGAGGGATGCGCCATGCATTCGACTTCATCAAGCATCGTTGGGGGCGACTGAATGCATATCTGGCCTTTACAATGACTCGCGGTGGTCTATCGATGTATCGAGCCAGTGCTGCTGTCCTCCCAAACAGGTCTGGTGCCAATGTGCTGACCCTGGCGGGACGGAGGGCTTGGTGGCCCATGGACGCAGGAGTCGATTCTACGTGCGTGTCGCAGTGGCGCCTCTAACCACTGCACCACGCGCACCTTTTAATATTATCGTTCCTATTGTCACTATTATTACAAGACATGGTGACACGAAGCAGAAAGTTTGGGCCTCTTTCTAAACGTTGGTTATACTAATACTATTGTTCTACTATTTTTTGAACTTTTATATCTGACTTTTTCAATGACGTCTTTATTTCTTGCCTTTTATTACCATCTTACTAAAACCATCAAGTTTTTATAAACTAAATAATATTTAGACGTTGTTTTGTAACCTATTCGTTGTACTGATTTTTTAGAATAGAGGAAATTTCTCCTATCGCAAACACAAATTACTCTCTGTTTTCCTAATACGCAAATATGAGGTTGTTATCGCACTGTTTACTTACTTACTTGGATACTTGGACGGCCCGCCTTCACGAGCTGTGCGGTTACCAGCACATATGCCATTCGTTCCTTTCTCTCGCAATCGTAGTTTATGGTGGTGGTCTTATTCGAGCATGGTAGCCCTTGCGAGTCTCATACCGTAATCTTTAAAACAACTGAAACTGCGGGTACAGCTGATTAACTTTGCTTACGAACGCGTCCACCCAACGTGTAGGTGGTCGTCCTGGGGTAGTTTGCATTCTCTTAGCGTCCACCCTATTTTTCTTTTCGTCCATCTGTCCCTGTTTTTCTCAATATGTGACAGGCGCATCTATGTTTCGCTTTCGATGTATAATCTGCTGGATCTCGATGTGACAGATTTCGAAGGTCAGAGCTTCGCATTCCGGCTACATATTGAGAGTGCCGGTTATATTTCAGAAGACATCGCTCAAACGCTCTGTGAGTAGTTCGAAGCATCTTTGACGTAGTTGGAATATCAATCCACGTCTCTGCAGCATAACAGCGCGCTGGGACGACAGTAGAATCGAAGAGATGAGAGCAAGTTTTCGGGTCCTTCAGCTGGTCGGTGGCTTCATCGAATGGCTCGAATGCGGCCCAAGCTGCTCTCTTTCTTGTATCTAATCCTTCCTTCATGTTGTTTACCATGTTCATTGATCGCCCAAGGTAAACGTACGAAGTGGTCTCTACAATGAGAGAGCCATCCAATTCAATTTTTTCGCCTTTGCACCATGGGTTTTTCATGAACTGGGTCTTCTTTCGATTCATGCGAAGTCCGATCTTTTTCCACGCTTCATTGAACTCGTTGGTCATCACCTTTGCTTCGGTAGCACTTTTTGAGAAGATGACAATGTCGTCGGCAAAACGAAGGTTTGATAGGAATTTTCCAACAATACGTATGCCTTTCTCATCCCAATCGAGCGACTTCATTATCCACTACAGTGCGGCACTGAACAGCTTTGGCGATATTGTGTGAGCTTGTCGAATCCATTTTCCTATGGGTATTGTAAGAGGTCGTTAGAAAAGCTGTATTTTTGTGGTGCAGTTCCGATAACAGTCGGACAGAGTCTTTATGTAGGACGGGTCCATTGCTTGATCGACCAATGGATTGCATTCGTTTCTACACTGTCAAACGCTTTCTCATAGTCGACAAAGGTTAAGACTAGAGGCAAGTGGCATTCCCGACAATCTTCGATGACCCTGGACACGGTTTAGATGTGGTCCATGCAGCAAAATCCTTTCCGAAATCCTGCTTGCTCGACTGGCTGCGTCTCATCCAATGTCCATGATCTACGTGAGAGGATAATCTTCGTGAAGAGCTTGTAGAGTACACTCAACAAACATGTGGGATGATAATTAGGAAGATTCCTTCGGTCTCCTTTCTTGGGTAGGATGACCGTGCGCGACGTCCTCCATTGGTCTGGGATTTTTTCCTTTTGAAGGCAGGCCGTCATGTGATTTGCGAAAAGTACATGTAAATTGTGGCCTCCAGCTCTAAGGAAATCGGCAGTGATATTATCAGGTTCTGGAGCTGTGCTTCTTTTCATGCTTTCTATCGCAACTCGAACCTCCGACGGAAGAATTTCAGGCGGTTTTTCTCCAGCGGGGATATTAGGACCCGGGACGGGTATTGTGGAACAGAAAAGGTTGGTGTAGAACGTTTCCGCTATTAATTTCATATAATGGCTGGAAGTTTTGACGATCCTATCTTCGTTCATCAAGGCTAACGACGGAACATTGCAATCACACAAGGCCCGACGGCATTTTTTCAGACCGCTTCTTTTCTCTGCTGATTCCAGTAGCTTCTTCTGCTTGTACCGTTGTAGATCTTTCTGCAAAGCGGCTGGCATTTATTACTAGCCATGTTGAACGTGTTGCAATAGGATCAAGCTTCAGCTTCCTTCTCTTTTCGAGCAACTCCCTAGTAATGATGGAGATGCGATCCGATCTTCCTGCTTGAGGAACTGAGGCGAATTCGGCACAGCTTTTCAGTCCTTCGACGAGCAGCTTGTAGTCTTCGGTTGCGTCTACTTTAATCTGTCAGTCACGTCTGGATAGAACTTCGTTCAGAATATTCTCGTCGTATACAGCTAGACTTTTTCCTCGTGGTCGATGAAGAGAGATTTTTTCAGCTTCTGGCTAAATCAAATCTTCGCGCAAAGAAGGCGGTGATCGGAACCAGTACAGAATGATGGGACTACCGATGTGTCAAGTAGGCATCATCATCTTCTGATTGTTAGAATATGGTCGATCTCCGCATGAGTCATGCTGTTGGGACTCCCATGTCCAGCGGTCGCTTTCCTTCTTCTGGAAAAACGAGTTACCGTGGAAGAGACGTGCTGCTGACAGGAGTCGCGCGAGACGGTTCCCATTCTCATTTCCTTCTTCTAATCTAAAATTTCCGATCCTGTACTCGCTCTCGTTGGCCTTTCCTATTCTGGCGTTGAAGTCTCCGACAACAAATTTATGATGTGCTTTATCATTGCTAATGAATTCCTCCAACTGATAGTAGAACGCACCTAATTCGTCATTAGTTGCTTCAGTCGTTGAGTAGCAATTGATGATTGTGATCTTCTTACGGAGCCTCAGTTGAAGACGGAGGACGTCTATGCGAGGGGAAAGGATTTCGTATGTGTCGACGAGATGGACAAGGGACGGGTGGACGACAAAGCCTACGCTACCGACATTTCGTGACGGGACCTTTTCTCCACGAATCACGAAGGTCCCGTTGTTTATTTGGCGTATGTCGGCCTTCTTGAATCTTGTTTCTTGTAATGCGATCACATGAAATTTAATGTGATCTGCGAATACAAGAAGGGCGTGAAGATCGGCGTCTGTGGAGAGTGTTCTGGCATTATACGTGCACAGTAAGAAACAGTCTCCATGGCTTGTCGTGCGTGTGTTCGTCAGATCTGGTTCCAATGGCGTCCTGAGTAACCCGAGATTTTCTGGCCTCTCACCGGTCCACCGCCTGACGTCACAGACGGGAGCACCCAGTGTGCGAGGTACTGAGGCTGGCCTATTACTGGTCGTGCAGCTTGGTCCTTCCTGAAGTCTTGACGTAACCTTGCAAGGGCGTATCCAGGTCTTCACCAAGATGTGGATAAGAGGGAGTTGTGTTTTCGCGTTTGTTTTGTGATCGCACCGTTTATTCACAGTAATTAGGTTTTTGGGGAATTCGCCTTCTTCATAGCGTAGAAGGGTCAGATTAAGTGACCTTAGTCGGCCAAACATTTCTATAACCTCGACCAGAAAAACCACGGTGGCTAATTTTGATGGCATTAGATATAAAACTACTTCTTCACACACCTACCCTTCTCTCTGAGTCTTTCACGTGACCAACCACATAGCGCTCCTGTGGATCGGTAATGTTCCCCCTTCAAATTAAAATATCAATCAGGATATTGCGTGAGATTCGCTTGATTCGCGTGAGCCATTTGTTCACGTGATTCATTTTTGGGTTCTTGCAATTTATGTCAACTTCCTCGAACGTTTTACGGACTGAAGTTTCCTATATCCTGCTGCTGACTTCTGCTTCGAAATCTTCTTCGTTATGTTTTTGTGCTCTATATGTGCCTAGTGAATTGCTTTGTTTGACTTCATGTTTTCTAACTAAGTGCTGTTTCATACGGAAACGAAATAGACCACCCATTTCTCAACATGCTCGTCGGCTAGCGCTTTACATGAACTCAAGTGCACTGTACCTGATCTCACGCAATTGCCGTCTCTAGTGTTAGGGCATATTCTGCAATTCTGTTGTATTATACATAGAGTGTCATACAGGCGAATGCGAACTAGCCGCCATCTTGGAGTGCTCGATGGTATTTCCATCATTGTTATCGAATTCTCTCGGCTGACTTTTCTTAAGCAACGTTTTATAGATGCACTTACACCGTTAGAAATGAAAGGCGGAATAAACGGTGCCTTACCGTAGCTGAAGTTCTCGTTTAGTGGCGTAGGTTTTTCTCTGCACCTATCCCGAGGAGCTATAGTTTCGTAGTCATTAAAAATAGCTTTTTTAAGAAGCAATTTCTGGACTCCTTCCAACGGTTTGCCAAATCATCGTGACTAGGAGGAGTTTCTGGGTGTTGAGTTGCCATTTACAGCGAAGAGATTCATCCCTCCAGTAGGGTCTTCCAAGTTGAGAAGGAGTCTGACGTTTCCATTAGGAAACACAGCTAAGAGTAAACCAATATCAGGATCGACCACTGTGCCAGTGTCAAATTACTCGTATGGTGGCAATTCTCACTCTGATCCACAGGGACGGCGACTGCCTATGGTGGTGACGACCTGGAGCAGACTTTCGCCAGTTTGACCTCGGGACTCCAAAAAAACACAATAACTAAGCCAGCAAAATTTCGAAAAAGTGGTAATTATGCTGAAGCCTGCACAACCAGTGAAGACGAACTATTCAAGTATCCAAGTAAGTGATTGAGTGATCGAGAATTTCTGGGATTCTCACTCACCGTGCCTTCCTGTGTACACACGTGTATATTCAAAGCAGTTTCTCACAAACGCTCTTTTTGTTTGCGAGGGGTGAGAGGAGAGGTAATGAACCGATATGCTTTTATTAGTTGGCTTTCGACACCACTTGGTGATGTAGTCGTTTTCGAATAGATTAATTTAAACTTCCAGAAATGGAGGCTAGTTTTCTTTTTGGTGAATGTTGTGCTGTCTGACTGCTTGTTCAAAAACTCAAAACATTTGTCCATGTCCTCTTGTGTGGAGCAGGCAACAAAACAATCATCTATATATCTACAGTAAAGTAATGGTTTGAGACCGGCTACTGGTGCTTCCACCTTAGACATAAGAAGAATGGCTGGTACCAGTCGCTGTCCCAGTGCTAGCCCTCTTTGTTGTGCATAATATTTTCTGGCTCATCTGAAAATTGTTGAGTTTAGGTCCTCCTTTAATACGACCGTGAGCTGCTGAGTGAAGAAGGCATACATGTCTATTGTTCCCACATATTACATAAGGAGTTCAAGGATGGCTTGCATAGTAGAGTCATTCGACACGTTTGTATAAAGGGCGGTAGCGAAGGAAAACTTCATCACATACACACTGTTAGGAGACACGTTACGTAGGCGATTTAGAAGCATTTGGGTGCTCGTAAGGCAGGCTTTATTCTATTTCATCAACGAAAAAAAAAATGTTTCGTTTTGTTTTCTTGCTCAGTTATAAAAGGTTTCTTAAGGAGATTAGCGAAACAGTTAGTGATGGAGTCCGGCAGGAAACAAGGTTCTGGTTTGACACCTTCCCTATCGCTCGCCTTTAATCCACGTGCCATAGGTCGGCTACCTCCAAGTTTACAATGTTGCTGAAATATTTTTCAAAGCTCAGACCCCAGGGCAGACTGGATCCTTTGACGTGTGATTTCTTATGGCACCTATAGGGTAAAGCCCGAGAGAAAGCTAAAGGAAAGGCTTTAGTTGGCAGTGGTTATCGCGAGGGCTCCCGGAAAGGGTAAACGCGGTTTCGAATCTGTCTTGAGTCTATGGTTTCCATGTATCTCAGCATCATTGTAGTTATATTTCGCATGATACTCTGCCATAAAAGAATAATAGGCAGTGAATAAAACTCTAATGTTTTAGCGTGCGAGGGAGCACATTACTTATCCATGTGAGGTCTATGCAGTTGGTCCCCACGCGGAACACGCAGCGGAAGACTCGTAGAAAACGGTGCTTGTCTGAATAAGCCTCCTTTCCAATACGATTGAAATCTAGCTGCCGTGGTTTTTCTATTAAGATTACGGTGGGTTTGGTTAACCGGGTTGCCGTTAGCCTGACCGCCTCGCGGCTCTGAGGAAAATGAAATCTGGTGGAACATTACCTATTATTACTAAATGCTATAGTGGCAACCTCGTGTATGCTTATCAAGAAAACAAAGGGGATTAATCAATGCCGACGTTGGTAGAAAGCCGTTCGTGAGAATTACAAATTTTTCAGTTTGTCACTGCCTTTTCTTCGTTTCTATGTTTTTTTTTCTTTGAAGACAGAAATAACCTGTTTTTTTCGACATTATTAAGAAGTTTCTTCGTTCTCTCATTAATTTCCAACTGGATTTATTGCTTAGCGTTTTTTCGCTCTTCCAGACTTCACTTCATTCGCGATTCCTGAAGAATTCCGAAATCAGATCGCCATCGATCAGCCAACGAATGGCTTCTGGCCAAATCCGAAAGCGATTCAGGAGATTTATCGCCCAAAAAGCCAACATGCTCAGCGCATTGATGAAGGCAAGTCACATTCAAGTAAGAATTAAAAATCTCAAATCTTATGAAGAATTAAACCTGGGACAGTATACAGCTGATACGATAATACAGTATGACTACTTGCTCCACTAACTCGTTGATTTTTCAGCATCAGTGGAAAAAATATTTACAACTCTTTTCAATTTATATTGCTTTTTGAGCCATACCATCTAACAATGACATTTATAGAACGTTGGCTAATATTTATTTCTCAAATAGTTTCTCAAACAAAATAGACGTGTTTTTTCATCGTTCCAGCTCTTATTTATACAACATTTCACGCTTAGACAGTTCAAAGATCAGCAAAGCAACAGTAGCTCAGAAATGAGCGGTCTCGCCAGCCCATGTCTTTCATCCATAGTTCCTACTCAAGCTGAGTTCCAGACGTAGACAGAAGTCCACATGAAAATCCGTGAAAAATATCGCTGCTTCAATCAACCAATGTTCTACCATTCTTATAATTCCTATAATAATTATTTATAATATAATTAATTATTAATTATTAATTTGATTACCATGCATGCAATGTGCAATGTGCAACCTTGCTCTTTTCCGCCTTCCTTTTCGACTACGGAGAAGGTTTGTGCTATTGTGACACAACATTTGGGTTCAGTTTTATTTGGCGCTACTTTCAATGGTTTCCAGGGACTTGAAGAAATTTTGGCCTATTTCAATTTCGAATTTGGTTAGAATTTACTGATTTCAAAATTTTCATTCTTTTCCTAATTCTGAATTGATATCATCGCAGTGTCACATAAGAGATGCACTCTAACAGTGCTAATTCGATTCTGCTCTGGGCCAACCAGGCCTCTCACCCCTCTATGGTCGGGAAATTGGTACTGGATTTGTCTAGGAAAAATTACTCTCTGCAAACCAATTGGGAACGCTCCAGGTCGGCTATCTCAGGACTTCAGAAAGAATTGTTTGATCGGCATTCCACGATATTTAAGATGAAATGAAAATCCTCAGACGGCAACCGAAGCCACACGTATGAGTTGGAAGATCTTCGTGAAGAGTGGATGCGAGGAAACGAATCGAATGTGAGATGTACTGGGATCCGCACGGTAGGCGTGAAGATGGACCATATAAATAGAAAAAAGTTCCAGTGGTTTTGCACAACTAGCGTCAATAATTTCAGACATTTATATATTAGCATAAACCTGAATCTTCGCCAACGTTTTCTCAGTTTTTTTCCTTCCCTTTCTTGGGTATGTTGTATGATCTGGAAGGCCTTAAATCTCTGATTTATTCTCTTCGTATTTTTGTTGAGCAAACGCGAGGTGTTACTATTCTTTGTTCACGATTAAGCTGACGTTTCGGCGGATTTCGCCTTCCTCAGAGCCTGGAAAGGTCAAGTTGATAGCAACCTTTGTTCACGATTAAGCTGACGTTTCGGCGGATTTCGCCTTCCTCAGAGCCTGGAAAGGTCAAGTTGATAGCAATCCACTCGGCCAGATGCCTCCACAACCAAACAAAGAAACTCTAAACCAAGTTTTCAATCACGTTGAACACAGCTTTGCACACTCACCGCATTCTATGAGGTTTCCACTAAGTATGTCACGTAGAGACCAACCGCACAGAAATCATATAATGTGCCCCTCATATCAGAAAAGCAGTTTTATATACTGCCCCATATCACGCCCTATCTCTGATTTATTTTTTGTTCGTCCATATCACATGCTAGAGCAGGCAGGTCGGCTCCTTCTACTCAAGGTTGGAAAAGTAATTATACTCGTGTTCAGCTGAAGTAGCCGTGCTGCTTGGAACAAGTTAAGAGACACAGATGAAAAGCGCTTAGTCATTAATTCCACGAGTATGTCTATCTATTTCGTTCGTATTTTTTGAGCAAACGCGAGGTGTTATTGTTCATTGTTCACGATTAAGCTGACGTTTCGGCGGATTTCGCCTTCTTCAGAGCCTGGAAAGGTCAAGTTGAAAGTTTCTATCTATTTCGTTAGTGAACACCTTCGAAGTAGCTGTACTCTTAGCGGAAACGGTAAACGCAAATGCGTAATTGAGACTAATAAAAAGTGCAGAAAAAAGGGTTGCTACAAGTGATATTGGAATAAAATTGACAACGCCATCATTCGCATAAGGTTTTACTTAGTCGGTGTTTTTGTTGTCTCGAGGTCTCACACAGTATTGGACTATCACCTTTTATCGCAAGATCCTCCTCTTCCAGAGGTGGTGGAAAAATGCGCGAAAATGAAAAAGACAGAAAAAGCAATCTAAAACTGTTATCAGCTCGTAGATCTTTAGTTCCTTGGCCGGTTTATAAAAAGATACTGTTACGGAAGGGATCAATAAGCATAACGACCAGCCATCTGACACTTCCAAGACAACGCAAAGAAAGCCGATAGTTTCAAAGTCATCAAGGATCGTCGTCTTCAAAAATCCTCCATGAAGAGGCTACTAGCGACGCCAGAGTTTGCAACGAATCTAAAGAGAATAATGAAGGCGGATCATAAAAAAGGGCAGTATTTGCAGAACTTGCATAGGCTAGAAAAGCAGCCCAATACCCGCAGGGACTTGTTTTACTGGATGGCTGAGCCCGGCTATTTAGAGTCCAGAAAAAAACTACCTTCAAAGAGCTGACAAGGGTATAGAGAGGATTCTATTAGGTTTTGTCCGATATCCACATACTACTACTTCCATAGCTGACCTGGATAGACCGATATGTCGCTTCCATGGCTGCCCTTTGCAAAATACATGTTGTCTCAGCGGTAAAGAACATCCAACCCACTATGTGAAGCCAAGAATCTGTTGCCATTTCTTAACCACACTTTGGTCTTGCTTCTACCTCTTACCTCTCAGAGTGCCGAATTCCTAGCGGAGGAAATATCACGGTGGTTTCATTGCAAGCAAACACCTTCCCGACACTAGCAATTACTGTAATAACTTCAAAATCCTTTTACACTACCTGAAATTATTTTCCTGAGTGATTCCCACGGTTGATAGAGCATCGGAGAAAAGACAATCATGAAACAAGTCAGGGTGGGTAAAGGTTATTATACCAACGCAATAACGAATCTCACTGAATTGTTGTCAGGGAATTAAATGCCGCTTTGTGACGACTTTATCTACGTGGTAAAAGATACGCTTCAGTCGCCTGACGGAGAAGCGGTCATGGAAGCCGTGGAACCTTTGCTGGTCGCTTTTAAACATATAAGGAGTTCTCTTTTTTACTACAAAGCAGCTTCACTATTGGCACTATTGGCCTTTATTCATCCTACAAAGATACCATTGAAGAGACAGTTGGAACCAACAATTTGTCAGAACTTGGCTAATTGGATAATTTCTTTCCTGTTAGCATAGGGATTAACCAGGTAGAAAAACCTACATGGATTTCGGTAGCACGTTTAAATTAGAGAGTCACAAGTTAAGCCCAGAGGAGACGATTTCCATTAGAGACGTATTTTACCCAATTGTCCATTTGCATTAGCATCGCAGAATGTTTTAGCTGTTTTTATCCGGGGTTTCGAAATGAAAATGAAGCTTATTCTAAGAGCAGAACGCACTTTGAAGAGCAAAGAAACTTACGAGCTTCGTTTTCCGCACCTACCTTACCGGCTTTACGACATTTCACTACTTAACACAGACCTTGAAAACTCAGACATAGGATGAAAAACCAAGGTACTATTTTGGGAGAATCCTGTACTGTATGATAGAAAGTGTTCGAGATTCCGTTCTACTAGTCAAAGATCAGAACACAACAGGATGTTGAACTGGTCGAACGAAATGAACGAGCTGAAAGCTGAGCGCTGACGGAATAGTTTGTATTGCTAGTATGAATGGGGTTTATTTGGGGTAGTTGAAGATATAGTAAATGGTTTAAAGAGATGGTTTGAGAAACAGCTAGCAAAACTTTTTCTAATGCAATGCCATCTAATGAGGCTGATTCAACTGACAGTACGATAGCCGCGAATACCTTCATCAGAAAAAGCGGTAGATGGGAAGCTCTAAAAAAGTTCTAACTAGGGACTTTGCTATTTGAAGATAATTACTAAGCAATGAAAGTCAAGTACACGTTTGATGAGAAATAGTCAGCATAGAATTAATGTAAAGATGGAGAATATTCGATAACTATTGAGAATGTTCTCTACAAAACGCACATCAAGAACTACTTCAATGGTTCTTCGTGGAAACCTCAAACCTGTGGTCCTGGTTGTTTCTTTCATGAGGGGAAGCCCATTGGGTATTTTCCGCACGTCACAGGAAGAAATTTGTAGCTTACTGCAATCGATTCAAATACTTGGTACAGTTATGTAAGGAAGGATGGATCAATTCCTTTACATTGCATTTTCCTCCGCAAGTTGAAAGCGATTCACGTTGAAAGACGGAGAAACTATTGATATATATATATATATATATACATGCATATTTGTGCGTATGTATTTATATATATAGATGTATATATAAGGAGGCGAATAGCACAGTGGTAGTGATGTGCGTCATCACGAGCATGGTGCTAATTCGATTTCGCTCCGGGCCAACCAAGCCTCTCATCTCTCCGGGATCGAAAAATTGGCACCGGACTTGTCTGGGAAAAATCACTCTCTGAAATTTAACTGGGAACGCTACCTCAGGTCACCAGAGAGAATTGCTCCACCAGCATTCTACGACATTCAAGGTGAAATGAAAATCTTCAAGCAACAACTGAAGCCACACGTAAAAACTTGGAGGGAAGACCTTCGTGGACGATGTATGCGAGGAAACGAATTGGATATGAGAAGTGCTGCGACCCGGACAGCAGATGTGAAAATGGATCAAATTAAATGAAAGAAATAAGAATATATATATATCTTGAGAGCGAGTGGGGGAAAGAGAAAGAGAGACAGATACACATGCATACTCACACATATACAAACATGCACTCAGAATCGACAAAAAATTCGCGGTAATATTCTGAATTTTGTTTCAGGATCACCATCAGCAAGAATTCTAATCCATCATGCCGACGCCCAAAACTTCGAAACTAGCTCTTTTCCCGTTTGTGGGGATACGTGCTCGAAGATGGCATGGGAAATTCATCCGTCAGGCGGCAAGACAACGGACACCGACACTTCGTTACCTGTAGAGTCACTGTTGCTCATGCCACCGTCGTCTACAACCAAATTACCTCTCGAGGTAGTGGTTCGCTTGGTTTACGGCACACGAGACCGTCAGAACTCTACATCAGCTGTGCGTGGCACTTCGGCAGCTGAACTACCGTCCTTCCTCACAGGCGCGTCTAATGACGTCATCAGGAAATATTTTGAGGTTGTGGCTGTTGCATTTGTCTATATTCCCCCAAAAAACTGTATTTTTTGCCTATTCCATATTACTTACTTACTTGATACTTGAACGGCCCGTCCTCACTGGTTGTGCGGGCCCCAGCATAATCTCTATTTCTCGGAGACCTGCTGGTCAAGCCATTGTGGTCCCTGGAGTCCAGTGGTCAGCCTGGCCAGTCTGCCCCAGGTCTTCACCAGCACAGGTAGTCGCAGCCATCGTGGATCAGAGAGAGACATGCCACCATGCGACTAGTTTGATACCAGGACGGTGGTGGATCCTGGTATTGGTTTACTCTAAGCTAGGTTTCCTGATGGAAACGCCGGACTCCTTCTCAGCTTGGGAGACCATGCCAGGGGATGAATCTCCCGCTGTATATCGCAGACACCTAGGAACACCTCCCAGCCACGATGAGGCGGTAAACTGTTGGGAGGTATTCCATATTACAGAAACGTTTACCATTTTTGCATAGAAATACAATATTTTAAACAACTACACTTAATGCAATTTTCATTGATAAGTTAACACTGCATATATATATGTGTATATATATACATTCTATTTTATTTTATATGATCCGTCTTCACGTCTACTGTGCGGATCCCAGCACTTCTCACATTCGATTTGTTTCCTGGCATCCATTGTCTACGAAGATCTTCCAAATTTTAACGTGTGACTTCGACTGCTGCTTGAGGATTTTTCATTTCGTCTTGAATATCGTAGAATGCTGGTCGAGGAATTCTCTCTGAAGTCCTGAGATAGCCGAGGTGGAGCGTTTCCAATTGGATTTTAGAGAGTGCTTTTTTACCTAGAGAACTCTTATAGCAATTTCCCTATCGCGGAGAGATGAGAAACTTGGTTGGCCTGGAGCGGAATCGAACCAACACCATGCTCGTGATGACGGACATCATTACCACTGTGCCATCCGCTCCCTTATATATATACATATCTCCCTTATATATATACATATTTGCTAAAACTGAACCGCTAATATCTAGTGTTAGCTCACCATTGGAAAAACAATTCACTTATTCGTATGAAGTGCTGAGATACCTGCAAAACTCCGGACCACAGGTGTATGCAGTGGGGAACGAACACGCGCTGTTGTCCTTACCGGGGAGCAGCGCACTTCACCACTACACCATCCGGGTTAATTCACTTATTATTAATGTTAAAGTTAAATGAAAGTTGATTTACAAAACTACCAAGTCTTCCTCTACCTAAGAGAGCATTACATAGAGGAAGGGAGATAATGCGTTGTCGTTAGTGAGCAACTATCCCGTGCTTTTTTCCCTACATATTTTAGTATTCTTTATATCAACGTTGTTTCTTTTTATTAAAATCACTTTTATCTGGTTCTGAACACTTAAAAAGTACGAAAGAACCAACCGTTGCAGATTACTAACAATCCGACGTTAACGAAGGGTGATGTGAAAAACGCGCTAAAGCGCTGGAAACTGATGCTTTCAACGGATCTTTTGGTGAGCTCTGACAGACTGCTTTTAGTTTTTCCAAGGCTTATTTCACTCTATCTGAAAATTTTCCGTAATGAGCGTCCCAGCACTACTTACACTCACCTGGTTGTAATCGCAATCACCATTCGTAAAAATGTTTAAGTTTGCCTGAGAGTTCGAAGCTCGCGCTTCAGAACCACCCATATTTCCCACTGGCACTTCTAGAATTTTACCACAAGCGGTCGCAGAGCATTATGTTTCGAAGGAAGGTTTACTACCTAGGAAGGTTTAGCGGCGAGGATCCTTCTAGAACGGCAGCAGTTAATTCGATTCTTCGACCAAACGATCGAGGACTACATAATAGACGGGATCTGTTTCCAATAATGATTGTCTTTATTTCTTGGCGGTGCAGAAAATTTTTAAATGTCTCAGTCTGCCGCTGTAAGCTAACAAATCTCCTATCAATTCTAGTGACCCTTCACGCCCCCGTCATCCATAGACACTACCACGTGCTGTAGGTCGTGGACGATACACTAATACCAATAATCATTCGAATTAAACACTACTTGAAGCTTTTGAAGGAAAAGTACGATGAGGTCCAAGTCGAGAAGGCGCAAAAATTGGCGGAAGAGCACGATCGACAATCGCAACGAATCAGCTCGCTGAGCGTCATGGCGAAACAAGTGGCCGAACAGATTGAGGTGAATGTGCATTTGATTCATTCGTTTTTCATTTATTTTTTCTTTTGTGAAGCTTCTACGAGTTATAATCCAATTCGTTCTATTTATTGTACAACTCGAGTGGAGGATCAAAAGCGTTCACTAGTTGCCATCCTGCGTCTGAGCCGATATAGCGCGCTTCTGTGAGAAATGTGTAGCCCTCTCAATGGCCTAACCTTTAGGTTTTTAGTGCTTGTTGATCATGTAAAGATGTTGGACCCTGAGAAAAATAAATGAGGCGTTTATTTTTTGGATTGGCCTTGATCCAATTGGACTCCGACGATCCCACCTTTGCCTAAGTCAACGTGATCGATATTCGTCTCTTGGGTGTTGAAACAAGTAGATAATAGTTCAATCGCTTCTGATCATGAGAAAATCACAAGCAGCCTTTGCATAGGATCGAATTTCAAACCGTCCACGCTCAAACAGCACTTCACCGTCTCGTCTTACCTTTTAATGTTGAACTACCACCCTTCCTACCACCACTCTCCCTGGCGTTTGTGCAGTTTGCCAACTAATAAATATTAATTTTTAAACCAAACAAGTCATCACGCAAAAAAATATCTTGAGTAAAAGTTAAAATTGTTACTGAAAACGAGCAGTTATTTTTACTTGAGGCGATTCGGTCCAATGATGGACTGACGATGGCCGAAGAAGAGTACCTGATTGGCGACATCATGCAGAGTATTCCTGATGATGTCAGAGCCGAACTTATTTCACTGTGACGTCATACCTTGTTTTATTTTTAACTGCTGTATATGTTTTTTGCTTGACTTCATTATTTACCGAGAATTTTGACCTCTAAGTAAACATTTGTGTCTATCGAAAGATAATAGAATGAGATAACGTTCGGTATTTCTTAAACCCTTGCGCATGTCGTCTGCATCCGAGTCAATTGGTAACCATTATAGAGCAGGATAACCCTATGTTTGGGCTACACACTGATTTTCAGGAGTTTGCTAGTCTTTCATGCAAGCGTTTCACTCTGCCAGACACTTTGATACAAATTTCTCAACTTCGGAAGGAGGAGGGATTGGCCTGCCCTGGACGCGGGGTCGAAACCTTGAGCAGTGTGTATTGCAGAGCACCTCTACCCCATAGGCAATACGCGCGACTTCTATCTCTTATGAGGCAATAACGATTTCTGGTCATGAAAGCACTCTTCAGCAACGATTACCTTGCAAAACATTCGGAAAAACATGAAAAACTGTGGTACATGAGAGCTTATGCACTACCCATTAGGGCTCCCCTTGTACTTCGGATATGCTGGAAACGTATTTCCTCCAATATGTTCTCGTTACGCATAAAGGTGCTTTCTTTAAGTGATAGAACACTTATCTCCACGAGGAGAAGGCGATTCTCGGATCTATCATTGTAAAATTAGTGCCCAAAACACCACCGTTGTATTATGAGGATGTGATGATGACAGTATCGAAGTTTTAGCTTGACCAGCAAGAACACTTTCTGCAAAGGAAAATGAAATTATGGTAATAAAACATGATGTTTAAAATAAAACTTCAACGGAATAGAGAATGAAGTAACACCTCCTGTTTGCTTAGCAAGAATATCTAAATCTATTTGATCAAAGCCGACGTTAGTAAAAAAAGTAAAAAAATTAAAAAAATAAAAAAGAAAAAAAAATGGTCTTGGGAAAAGATGATGTATATAGTGCCTAACACTAACAGTAGGACGTATGTGGCGCAGTAGTCGGAGGCGCCCTGCAACACACACGTGGGATCGATACCCGCGTCCATTGCCCACCAAGTCTTCCATCCCTCCGGGTAGTCATTGTAAACGCCAGATATGCATTCAATTACCTCGAAGCGATGCTTAATGAAGTCGAATGCATAGCGCATTCCTCAGAGATTAATCAACGCCGAAAGCTTTATTCTTTTTTATTTAATAGTAGAGACGCATATTTTGTTTCCTTTTCTCGTGTTTTATACCCTTACCAGTAGCATGTTGCATACTGGTGAAGGATGTCCAGCAAAATAGTTAAGGAACCTCTCGTCTCGGTTAACGTCATTCAACTGATCGTAGAACGTTTGAGCGTATCTAATATTTGAAAGTGGCAACCCAGATTGATGGGCACTAATTAATGAAAATGGCTTTTTTCGGCTTGGTGGTTAACGACATAAAGGACTAGGGGATGCACGGAAGCCTACATCAGTTTCGCCGATTTCGTTAAGGCACCTTTTCTTCATCTACATGCTTCGTTAATTGTGCGCGCAGTGCTTTCTTTGCTCTAGGACTTTTGCAGAAAATAAAGTTTTATTACTCAAGATGATCCATCTATAGCAGCTGTTAGTGGAAATTAGGTCTTCGAGACAGTCCTGGGCACCTTATGATCACTAACTTTGAGTAGGATGCTCGACTTCGTAAAAGTTGCCACGCGGGACTTTTGCGTACTTGTCGCAAAAAAATATTTCAAACTTGGGTAATTAAACCGTTTATAACAATAATAATTCAAAAATAACGAAATATAAACATTGGTACAATACAGACGGCAATATTATATCACGATCAATAAATGAGGGTAATGCGGGTTAGTATCTTTGCTATAGGTACAGAGCTACATGACAGCAATGTTAATGTACAACAGTTACCACATACAACAAGAGAGGGCACTTTGGATTGACTACAAGGCGCATTACACATGATGAACCGGGGTGGGACGAATACGGTATTGGCGCACAGGGCTCTTTAAATATCTTCTGGAGGAGGCGGTGCTTTGGCACAGGTCCAGAACAGAATCTTCACCGAAAACACCCATCAGTTTGCGTCTCCAGCTCCCCTGTGATCAGATGACAGAGGACGGTTTGCTGGACAGCTTCAAGCCCCTTTGTGTTATCGTACCAGTGATGGTTTGGAACAGATGCAACACACAAAAGGTTCCGATTGTATAAAAGAGTGTGTTTCACAAAGGATGTTTACGACAACCAAAGTTTCTCTCAACGAAGTGAAAACGTTTACATGCTGCAAGATCGCAAAGCGGTGCTATAGGCCACGAATATGGTTGCCACAGTTCTACGATATGATGATTGAATAGTAACTATTCTGGCAATAGTTGCTATACCATCGTCTAAGAAGATCGTTGGTGTTCTGCTAGTGAGACGAAAACCCGCTGCCATAAGAATCATTATCTCAATCTTATTGGCGTGTTTATTTGGATACTTGAATAGTTGGATGGCCCATCCTCACTGTTTGTGCGGGTCCGAAAATAATTTCCATTCTCCGGAGACTTACTGGTTTAGCGATTTTAGTTCCTTGATGTCCTGAAGACAGCATAGCCAAAGTCTGCTCTACTGATCTTCACCACCACAAGCACTTGTGGATCAGAGAGGGATTTGCCACCGTGCGATTAGTTTGATACCAGGATGGTAGTGGATCCTAGTACTGGTATAGTCTTAGTTGGGTTTATTAATGGAAACATTGGGCTCCTTCTCAGCTTTGGAGACCCTGGTGAAGGCATCAATCCCGCACCGCACATCTCAGCACGACACTCAGGAACACCTCCTAACCACGACGATGAGGTAAACCGTTAGCAGGAATAACGTATTTTGCAAAGCCAAAATTTGGTTTTCTTTCATTTTTAAACTCACTACCTTTCTGTACCATTGGTAGCGCCCGATGTGAGGTGTGAGGTGCAAAAGGCATTTTGCAGTTCAAAAACTTTTAGAGCAATGGAATTTCTGCGCCAATTTATCCCTAGCTCTCCTTCGCCGGCCCTTGTGATTCCTGAAGAATAATAACGTTAACTGGAAGGGTAGGGGATGGTTCTACTGTGAGCTGTAGTGATCCTTATTTTCATTCTCTCCTAGTTAACCTTCATGACAGTGGTAGTTTAGTATTGAGTTATAAAAACATGCGGAGATAACCAGCTCAAAAGGACCATCATACTTTCAACGACCCTTAGTTGTTTTGGATATCTTGCTATATCCTAAACAATCTACACTGCTTCAGACACTGAAAGCCAATACCTTTGAAACAGACCGTCACTAAACTTCGGTAATAAAACAATCAGCATGTGTTTATATTGTTGAGCTTATACGAGGTTGTTATAGATGTTTATTCGACTAACGCTTCGACGTCCTCGTCTTCATTAGAGCCCACGATTGTTGTCGATGGTCCGCAATTGCTCCTCTTCTCGATGTTGGATCTTCGTTTGGCACCGAATCAGATCTTTTTCAGCTGAGCATCTCGAATGAGCCGAACACACCCGCAACGCTCTTTTACATAGGGCGGTTGTTGTTGATACGATTATCAGTTGATGATAATTTGTTTTCCAACTGATAATCCACTTTCCAGCAGACGGTATTTTGTTAGCTAACACATAGCGATTACCAGAACAATACTTTTGATCGATTCGATGATCAACTTTGATTACTTCGCTATGTGAGAGAACGAGACGAAGACGCCACATCGAGAAGAGGAACAACTGTGGACCATCGACAAGGATCGTCGGCTCTGATGAAGACGAAGACTTCGAAGCGTTGGCCGAATAACCATCTCTATCCACTACCAATATTAATCTTACATGTGTATGTCTTAAAATCCTTTTCTCTCAGCGATCATCTAAAAGGCTGGTGATCAGCAATTTGGACTTCAATATCATGGGTTTGCATAGAGAACTACAATCATTTGACTATCCAGTTTTTACTCAAAAACATCTTTAAAGATTAGGGGCTTAAAGCTACGATGAAGGAAACGAATATTTGACACAGCATGTCGATTTGCATGCATCCTCAACAAGCTTTTTTTTGGTCGGTATCCTTAATGACAGACCAGAAATGGACATCAAATTAACCAGTACTGATTCAAATGCACTAAGTTCGCTTTTTAACGGTCTTTTAGTGACTCTTTCCGTATAGATTTTGGCTAGCCCACATGTTTCATGATATGTTCTTGGTATAACAACACTTCCTCCCAACACTTTACCGCCCCGTCCTGCGTGTCGGGCTGCAATATGCAGCCGGGTGATTTGTCCACCTAGCAAAGTCTCCTGAGCTGAGCAGTCTGGCCTTTCTATCAGGAAGTCCAGCTAAGACTAACCAGGATCCACCACCATCCTGGTATCAAGCTAGTCGCAAGATTGCTAGCATAGCTTTCGCCCATTCTCAGAGACGGCATCAAAAGTTAACATGCGTAGAAATGAGACCTATTCTCTCCACGGTTTTTCAGGTAAACAAAGCATCTATCAAATTAAAGTTGTCCTAAAACTATTACATTCTTCCTTTACTGTCTACCCAGGTAAAAAACCAATTAAATGATGTCATTAGGTAAAACTTGCGCTTCATCAAAGACATCGTTTTTTCTTTGCTGGCAGAAGTTACACGACGACAAACAGTTCTACAAGACTTGAGCAAAAAGCCATTTATCTCAACGATGAGATGAATAGTTGTTATGAAAAGAAGTTCAAGTGTGAAAAGGAATCCATTTAATAATGATTCGCAGAGAAACGAACATCAATGATTTGAGAACTGCTCCGGCATTGTATTAAGGTCACAGCTCTCGTTTAACGGTCCTCATTATTAAAAAATCTAATGCAATAGAAAGGGATTTGTAAATATCCTCTTTCGTAGCTTGAAAAAAGTTTTTTGGCCCTAAAAGAGTAAATGTCAATAATGTTTGATGAAAAAGGATAACCAGTGGTTTCCCACCTGCTCAACTTTCGCATTGTTTCTCCAACCGTTTTCGAAGTCCTCCTTGAACATCTTATTTTCTTTTGAAAACTCATTCATCTTCTTGATCTTCCTCTTTCGTGACTCTATGGAAGTTTTTCGATCCTTAACCATCTGCTTGTTTTCTGTGGCCTCATTCGCACTCTCATCGGAGGAGCTGATGATCACTACCTCTTCCACCGCCTTCTTATTCATGCTCTTCCTTGCTTCGTTCTTAACCACATTCTTTTCCACGGCATTGGAACTATTCATGTTCTCCTTCGAAACCTTCTTCTTTCTATTTTCTTCCGAGGTGTTCTTGAGCACGTTTTCTTCTAAAGCATTCCTCTTCAAGTTGTCTATCGATGCACTCTTGTCCACAACCTTCTTTGAGAACCTTGCATCCGTGCATTTATTGAAGGCCTCTTTAAACATCTTCTCTTCTTTGATGCTTTTCTCTAGGCCATCCTTCGAAACATTTTCCAGCGCCCTTTCATCCAAAATTTCATTCACGATTTCACTTTTCCAGGCTTTGTTGAGTATGTTCTTCTCAGATGCCTTGTTTTTCCCGTCTTTATTCGAGGTCCTTTCGACATCTTCGTTTGCCACTTCCGTTACTGTTCTCGGTGTTGAAGGGTGACCAGATAACGTCGTAGATTTTAGCAGCGGATTTAAACGTATTGCTGGTGATTTCACGGAAGAGTTGGAAAACACTCTATCTTCATATCTGGTTTCATTCGCTGTGAACGTTGGCGGAGCGTGTGCATTTGGGTTCGATAGACCAAAGTTGAGCCATGGAGCTTGCTTCAAACCTAGAAAGAACTAAAATAACTGATGCACCTAACAACATGAAATCAACAAATTTTGTGATTATTGATAAAGTCTTTTGGTTTTCTAGTGAGGTTTGGTGAGTGGCATAAATATTCTAATCGAATCACTTCAACAAATTCCGAAAGGGATTGTGACGCATTTTCATACCCATTGTCAGATTGCCACGTTCGGCAGTTCGTACAATAAACGATTCCTCATATCTATGAATCTCTTCCTCCAGCATTTTCAGAGATCTCTACAAGAAAAAATATCATCAAATTATTACCACAATGATACTGAGATAATTGCAAAACTCCGGACCACAGGTGTCTGCGGTAGGGAACGAATGCACTATTACCCTTTCCAGGGGATAGCGCGTTCACCACCACACCATGCGCGAAATTATTCTTTGAAGAAACAACTGTAATCGAGGATGACTTACCGTAAGTTCTTCTCGTCTCTTCAATAGGTCTTCTAGGCGTTTCTGGAATGCCTTTTGTTCGCACTTCTCAAAGTTCATAGGAGCTGAGGACATGTTTGAACGTTAGCAAGGTGGATGGCAGTTGCGTGCAGAACACTGTAGTACTGAAGAAAGTGCAAAATTTTTCATGTAGTACTGGGTTTACAAGAAACGAGTACTGTGGCTAAAAATGAATCAAATTCAGATTTTGTCGAAGCTAGGCACGACCGCACGGTACGATGTTAGGAGAACTGAATGCGATGATCTCTATCCAGCAAAATGAGCGATACCGTTAGCTAACAAGTTTTATCACGATCGTCAAGACTGGAAGTTTCCCACTATACTGTGTGAATTCAAACTACTTGGTGTTGATCGCACCCTCGGTCTAGCAATAGGGAGCCTCCTTCTTCCTTTCGCGTCTGATATCCTCACTGCAGCGTTTTTAGTCTATTAGAACCCATTTCGTCCAAAGTATTGGTTGGTTGGTGTGGGATCAGTAGGTGGTGTTGAACGCGTTGCGACATGTTCGCACGTGCTAGCGTCGTCTGCGCAAGCCGTTCGTCCGCACGTTCGCAATCGATTGATCAGCTGAGTGAATTCGATCGATGTGCGTTCGCTTCTTCACTTGCTTCTTCAACTTGCATGATTTGCATCTTTATCTACACTGACGAGAAGCAGAGCCGTGGATTGTGATCCAGACGTTTTTAAGTAGTTGTGTTTTCACACGCTATTCTTTTAGATGTCCTTGCTTGTAACTTGAAATAAGAACTGAAACCTCCCTCTATGCTGGGCCGATGGACGCGTGTGGCACAATGATCGGAAGCGCCCCGCAACACACACATGGAATCGATCTCCGCGCCCATGGCCCACCAAGCCCTTTATCCCTCCGGGGTCGGCAAATTGGTACCAGACTTGTCTGATAGCAGCACTGGCTCGATAGATGCTTAATGAAGTCGAATGGCACATCGCTCATCCTGCAGGGATTGTTTAATGCCGGGAGCTTTATCCTTTTAGCTTTATGCTTGGCCAAATTTAAAAAAAACACGCATTCTTCACCTTTTTAATCTAGTGATGTCTACGACTGTATTGATTGGTGCTGCGTTGCCCTCCGACTTCTTAGATCTTTGAGCACTCCAGTCCACTACTTTGACAAAATTTTTCTTCTTAGATCGACGTCATTCTGTGATAGTTAATAGGTCACATATTCCATATTCCATGTATATGTTTTTACTTCCTCTTATAGCTTCTTCTGAATTGACTAAATCTGTACCGGCTGAAAGATAGACAAAACAAGCGCGTCGGTGGTACAATGGGCTCCAGGAAAGGATAATCGTGTTTTCGGAGCTCGTCTAGAGTTCTGACTTTTGCTGATATCTCAGAATCATTGTAGTTGTATTTCACATAAAATCCTAGCTTTAAAAAAATAGTATCGAGTGATAAAAGTTAAACATTGTGTCTTCTTATGAAGTATTTCTGAGCGACGTTGAGAGTTCCTTCGCTGCTTGTTCCGCTATGTATCAGACATACAAAGAGTTTATACCTGCACACACTTCCTGTTTTCGACTCCACATTACCACAGATGCCATTCCTAAATCACTCCTTGAGCTGATGCGAGGTTGGTATAAGTTGTTGTTGTTATTGTTGTTGGTGTTGTTGATCGATGGCTGACTTTTCAGCGATTTCGCCTTCCTCAGAGCCTGGACGTGTTTTATGTAATAGTAGCCTTATATTCGGCGAAATATCTATAATATTAATGAAAATCAAACTTTTAATAAACGCCTTATCGGTCAAGATGATAAGTCACCGTGCGTGCTGTTGCGATTGTCTCCCTACGAGTAGTTCGCGTTGGATTGCGAGCGATCATTTTTGCCAATAAGCTTACTAAAGTGCCCAGCCTCAGTACGATTAGTCAATTTTCTTATAAATGTGGACTTCGCACTAGGTCGTTCCAAAAGTTTTACTCCACAAAAGTTTTGGCTTCTTTCCCTGACAACCATAATGACTCGAATAGACTACCCAGAGCCATTCATTCCTTAGCTGTGTGCCCTCTTGGAGCATTGTAGTTGCTCTGTGCAAGCTCACGTTTTGTTGAATTTAGATCACCTCATTCAGCTCTTCTCAGTTGTTTCCGTGTCTTCTCTTTCAAGTTTAAGGAAATCTACGCTCCGTTTAGACTAGGTAATGTTTTTTCTGGTAAGAACGTTTACAACCCTTTTGACCAGTAGGAGATTTCGTGTTGTTATACTCAATGCCAATCAATTAGAGTGATTTCATTCACCAATGTCTAATTTTTAACCCTTTCTTTGACATGTTCTGCAGGGTGGATATATATGTATATATACATTTTTTATGCTGCGTGTGGAGCATTGGTCGGAGGCGCCCTGTGACACTCACGAGGGATCGATCTCTACACCAAAGGCTCACGGAGCCTTTCATTCTTTCAGTGTCGACAAATTGGTACCAGACTTGTCTGTGAGAATAGCAGCACTGGCTCGATGCATCAATAGGCCACCGCGAGTCATTGTAAAGGCGAGATATGCATTACATCACCTCCAGCGATGCTTAATGAAGTCGAATGCAGAGCGCATCTCTCAGGGACTGACCAACGCCCAGAGCTTTATCCTTTTTTCCTTTACATAAAAACTTTTTGTACGCCTCTTTTAGGTCAACAGTACAACTGATATGATTAGGTATGAAAATAGGCGCATATTTCTTAGTTCCTTTTTTCTATTTTACACCTTCTCATCCGACAAGAGGAATTACAGGAAGAACAAGCAGGGATAGCGGCTAATTGTGTTTCCAGGAATATCCAACACATAGCAAAACTAGAAATAGAAGCAAACGTGGAAGTAAAAATCTGAGTGGAAATGAAGTTGGAAAGAGGAGCCGTAGTACAAGAAGTGATAGAAATCGAAATAGAAGGAAGACTTCTACTTCCATTCTGATACTTCACCTACCACTAGTAAAAATGGAAGTACAGGAGGAACAAGAAATAGACGTACGTCGATCATTGTCGTAGAAAGCGGAAGTAAAAGCAGGAATAAAAGTGAAAAATGAACAAAACTGATGTCAACCATTTCACGACATTTATAGAGAAGAACGAGTATAAGACGTTCTGAGATCCGCACAAGGTATGTAATAATGGGTAGTGTAGAATAAATAAATCAACAAATTGTAATTTAGAGCAGTAGAAGGGAAAATCTGTCGGCGTTGATCAATCCCTGAGGGATGCGCTATGCATTCGACTTCATTAAGCATCGTTTAGAAGTGATTGAATGCATATTTGGCCTTTAAAGTGACTCGCGGTGGACTACCGATGTATCGAGCTAGTGCTACTATCCTCCCAGACAAGTCTGGTATCAATTTACCGACCCCGGAGGAATGGAAGACTTGGAGGCGCGCGGGGATCGAATCCACGTGTGCTGTAGAGCGCCTTCAACCACTGCGCCACACGCGCCGTTTTAGCATATGGAATATTCGTTTAAGACTACGTTACGAGGTTTTAGTCAAAATTCTACCACGGTAGAACAAGGAAAGTTGACCATGGTTGTTGACGGTCTACGTATTTTGACAGTTCCTATTCTAACTAGCAATGGTTGATGCGCAGTTGTGTTTGAAATAAAGATTCTAAAAAGAAAATAATTGAGACTCAAAGACTTCAATGATGCTGAGATATTTACAAAACTCCTGACCGCAGGTGTCTGCGGTGGGAAACAAACGCGCTACTAACCTATCCGGGTGCTGACGCGTTCACTACCACACCATGCGGGTCCTTCGTTCCGCCTTTCTCTCAGCCGTCCTATTCACCTATAGGTGCCATCAGCATCAGTGAAATTATACTTCGCAACATACTCTGCCATTAAAAAGAGTAGACAGTAAATAATAGGTTAAAATTGTGATTATAAGTACACCTTCAGTTTAACTGGGTTCATTGCCAGTTTGGGCTCTTTTGATCAATCCCGATGACGGGTGATTGCTGATGGCACAGATTGATAGAACTAGCTAAGAGACAAGCGAAACGAAGGATCCACATGATGTGGTGATGAACGCGTTATCCCCGGAAAGGGAAATAGCGCGTTCGCTCCCCACCGCAGACAGCTGCGACATAACTGGAGTATTTGGAGATATTCGTTCTGTTGAGCATGAATGGGGCATGCGAAACCAATCCATTCCTCATGAGCATCGTTTTTGTGAGATTTAGTCGAAGACCAATCTTTCCACAGGCTTTATCAAAGTCGTCAGGCATACGTTCCACCTGGCTAATGTTTGGTGTTATGAGGACGATGTCATCAGCAAAGCGAAGATGGTGTAACTGCCGACCGTCGATTTTCACTCCCATATTATCCCATTCCAATGTTCGCATGACGTTCTGGAGGGTGACGGTAAATAATTGCGGCGAGATAGTATCGGCTTGTCTAACTCCTCTTCTGACGTGAATGTTAGTATAGTTGTAGAATGGTGATATCTTGGTTGTGAAATTTTTGAACAGCTCCTGAAGAATCTTTATATACTGAGTAGGGACTCCTTGACTATCAAGGGCCTCCATGACTGCTTCTATCTCAATTCAGTCGAAGGCCTTCTTCAAATTGATGAAGGTGAGACAGGGCAGTCTTTTGTACTCTCGCGATACTTCGATGAGCCCTGTTACCGCGTGGATGTGGTCCATCGTACTAAATCCTTCTCTAAACCCTGCTTGCTCACATGGTTGTCCTTCGTCCAGTGTTCTGTCAATCCTGTTTAGGATGACTCGAGCGAAAACTTTGTAAACGATAGACAGTATACAGATTTGGCGATAGTTGCCGATATTGTAGAGGTCACCATTCTTGAACATTAGCACGGTCTTGCTGGTCTTCCATTGAGTAGGGACCTTGAACTGAGACAAGTAACGTCGGATTTCTGGAGCAATAATCGGTGGAATATATCTATCCTCCTTTATTTCATATGATGGAAGGTGGACGTCGCTATCGAAGAGATCCGAGTAGTATTTGTGAACGATTTTTTCCATTGCCTTTCTGGACGCTGTAACTATTCCGTCTGAGAGTCGGAGTGCAGACATTTTGGTCCTGTAATTGGGGATGCATCGGTGAGCTTTGCAAATGCTTTATCCAGCCTCTTCAGCTTCGACCATTACTGCTGCTCATCTCTCTCTAAGATCCTTTTTTATCGCCTGTCTGCACTGTTTTGCAAGCTGAGACGTCAATTCGCGGTTGCCTGCAGCTCGTGCGATTCCACGCTGGCGTATCAACTCGAGTGTTTCTAGAGACAAACGTCTCTTGGTGACTTTCGAACTCTCAGCTTTCATAGCGCTAACGTGAAGATGTTGAATGAGCCGATTGTATTCTTCGTCGATGATATCGGCAACGCTATCTTCCCAGCTGCCGACTAATGAATTGAGTAAATCCCAGTTTACGGTGCTTCTGCGACTTCGGTTTTTGAATTTAGCAGCTTTTTCTCCTTTCCGCAAGGAATAGAATCTTGCATGAAGGAGACGGTGGTTTGATCCTGTGCGGAATTTTGGGACAACAGCGATATCGGTTAAGCAAAGCCTTCTATTTACTACGATGTGCTCTATTTCGTTATGGTAAACTCTCCATTAGGAGACTCCCACTTCCAGCTTGAGGGTGGAGCTTCTGGAATTGCGAGTTACCATGGATGGTCTTGGTCGTCATAATAAACTCAAAAGGCCGCTCACACTGTTCGTTTCATTCTAGTTTGTGGTTCCCAATGTGACGCTCTTCAGACGTTCTTCTTGGCCCAGGTTTGGTGTTGAGACCTCTAATGATGCCCTTGAAGAATGTGTGGTCTTCTGTGTAGAACTTCTCCGAGTCCATATAGAACGCTTCGAATTCTTCTTCGTCATAGTTTGATGTCGGCGCGTAGACGTCGAAGACTATCAAAGCCGGAATTTATCCACGTCTTTTTAATCGTGAACGTCCGATTCGCGCTATAAGCTACTCGAATGAATCGATGTTCATGGACAAACTAGTGTTGACGAAAACGCCGACTCCTCTACTGTCGCATGTTCCGAGGAACAGTTCTTTTCCGGTATCATAGACGTCGTTTAATGTGGTGTCATCTCGTTTCGGCCAAGCCAATGACGTCGTACCTTATCCTTCTTGCTTACATGAGCAAGTCTTCTATCGAGGTCTGGGATGCAAGTGTACCTGCATTGTTGGTACAGATCGTCACCATAGTTCTTCGTGATCCAGGCAGCCTACATTGGCCCCGAGATTTTAGCAGCCCCTCTCTACTCGTCTACCCAACGCTGCAAAATTGGTGGCCCTTTTGCGTTGAGAGGAATGAGGCCCGTTTTTTTTACTGTGTTTATCATTTTAGTACCCACGTATGGCTTGCTGGGCTCTGAACGTGGGGGCTCGGTATACTCACGGGTAGCTCGCCAGGATAGAGTGGAAATGGAGCCTAGTTATAGAGAACATTCTTCACGAATATTGGAATGTTCTCTATGTAAAACAATTATAACCTTATGTCTTCTACAACACCTGTCTATTTGTAATCGTCATACATCTATTCTTGCATGTTCGGTAAATCATCTCTTAGCAACCATTTCATGCAATTACCTCGCAGGTGGCTGGAAAGGGAATCAGCATCAGCCAGCTGAATGTACTTTTCAGCATCTGTCGTCCCAAAAGTCTCCGAACAGTCACCTGCACTCTTCCACATGTAGCCCTATCAAATTATGCTAGTAGAAATTTTAGAACTCCTCTCTGGACGCCGCCCTTAGTTCTCTCTGGCAAAGCTCCACCCACTACAGATGTAATACAGGCAGTTCATAGGAATGGTCCTGAAGTGTTAGCCGCGTTCGACCGGTCTGTTTCCGGTCCTCAGTGCTCCAACTCCACTGTCCGTCTTAATTCCTTCAAGTGTATCACTTGTTACCATTCAATCCCGCCCTTATCCACCCAGCTTACATATCGTCAAATGTCACACATTATCGTATCACTGTTGCATTAATTATACAGTTGTACTGTTATGCCAATCTCTTTACTCATAAGCAACCTGAACACCAGTGATCAGGCTGCGCCTATTCATTACCCGTATCACTGTTCCATTAATTGTAGAGTTGTATTGTTATGACTGTTGTATAATTATGATGAACGGTTTAATTACCCAAGTTTTAGGAGTCTGGCATTGTGACTGCTACCAACAAGAAGTCCCGCATGGCGGACACAAAGGCGAGCAGCAAATTCCGACCGAATCGTTTTAAATACTTGGTACTCCTATATATATAGCGAGGCGTCCCAACACTAGTTGTTGTAGTCGTCTCCTAACCGCCTCCCATATACTTCCCTGTCACTTTATTGCAGACTTTGAGCCGAATTGACTCGTAGAATACAATCCGCATACGCAAGAACGCACCCACACACTCATGCATGCGTACGCCTAGCAAATACAGAAAGTATGCGCCAAATCGGCGCAGCGGAAACAGGGAGTCCACCCACCGGATCCACCTACGGTCTGAGGGAAGCAAAGGTCGCTTTTGGTCCACAATTAACCCCCTACCCGCCACCTAGGGACGCGCCACGTAGCCTCGCTACCAGCTGGCCCGAAGTCCCTCATTTGAGGGTGATCCATGGGAAAAGAAAAGGATTTTGGTACCAAATTTTTTTCGACTAAAGGTCCGATATCTTCTCTTTCGGAGCTGCAATAACTTGAGTTGATTGTCTGCAGCCGTTCCCCTTGCAATACAAGCATTTGAGTCTTACCGAATCCAACCTTCAGGATTTGATCACTCTTAGAATAAAGCTAACTCGGGAGTACCCTTTTATAGAGGTCGGTTATTGACTGGCTGATTATTCGTTGATAATATTTTGTTTTTCAAGGTTAACCAAGTAAAATCTGATATCAACCACGTGTCCGATTATCAGTGAAAAGTAACCTATCATCATGGGTATATAAACGTTTTCTTTAACTCTGCCTCCTGTATTCCTTCTCTGACAATCGTACACGTGGTTGATAAACAATCTTTACTCGGCTAATGTTTTCACGTCAT